TAATTGTTCAATCTGTATTTTTTTTCTGTTTCAGTTTTTTCAGTTTTATCATTGATCTGTAACTTTTGTAGTCTTGTATTTCACCTCAGGGACATTGTGAACATGACTCCGACGTACAGACGCTTCAGTCATGTTTGCAGTTTTCTGTCTTGTCGGCCTTTTTCCCAGTGTTTCAAAGCTGCCAAAACTGCCTCATTTACTCTCATTGAATTATTCACATTTCATTCCTTTGACAAACTCCCACCATCAGCTGCTGTACGTCTACTTACAGGCATGGGAGCTATTCAGGTGATGAATGCACCGTGATGAAACTGCTTGCTGTTGTTTCACATAATAAATCTCTGAGCCCYGCCCCACTCCTGCCTCAGTTCTCTGCAGCTGACTGGTGTCACCTGCCTTRGCTAACACAAAAAGGGCTGAATGCAGCTTTTGCTCCACTTCCTGCCACCGTTCTGCTCTGACTTTGAGAYGGTACTCTTTTTTTTTTCAAGCCACTGCACGCTGACAGGTTGTTATCAGTGAATGGGTTATGAGGACGGTTTTAAAAAAGGCATGATATATGGCGTGTTTACATCATTGCTGACGATAACAGTGTGGGCTTACCTTCATGCTGCTACCATGACATCTGGAGTCTACAAAAAAGGTTGAACACGTTTGGTTAAAAAGCTGGAGAAGAAAGAAACCTGTATAAACTGTAAAATAATAACTAAAAAAAACATGATGCGGATGGACCAAGACAAACATGTAAGTCCTTTATCTAATTAGATTAAATAAAAACAGGATGGGTACACAACACTTGACAAAAACACATTTGGTGATTAAAGTCCTGAGAACAGCTTGATCTTTTGTGGCGAATCAGATTTCTACAACCGTTCAGCAGCTGATCACTGACTGCTGGGCCCTTGTGTCAAAACAAACTCCTGCTCCTGCGTTACAAGATTTTTTCTGCTCTTCCCTGGCAAAACGATGAAGAAAGTGTTGCATAAACACATTTTAATGCCCTGGTGGGAGCCATAACACACCGGTTTTGTGTAATAGCTTAAAGAAAAAGACCGAAAATAGATAAACAACCAGTTAAGACTGATCTTTTTATTGCACATTGTGTTATTTTGCAAGTTTAACGAAAGAACTACAACTCCTCATTTTTCATTATAATATGATTTAGTGCAAAACTTTGGAGGTGATGAGCATTACGTAAAGGAAAATTAACTCTATGAGCTAAAAAATATCAGCTGAGATAAAATGAAAACCAGAACTTTACATTTTATTTTAGTTTTCTTTACAAACTTCATTTTTCACTGGACTCAGTGTTGTATGGGCAAAACTATCTGTGGTGATTGTAACTCTTGGCTGATTGGTTCCCTCATCTGATTATCCTCACCTGCGTTGATGAGCTGACAGGCTTTATAAGGCGTCGGCTCCAGAAGATCAACGCTGATGCATCTAACCTATTTGGTAGTTGTTCAAGCCGTTTCATGCTAGTGCAAAATATCTTGTTATACTTACCTTGTGTATCCTATGTCCCAGGACAAATCTCACGTTGCCAAGCCGCCTGGATCCTCAAGCCGCCTCTCTGTAAACTCATCTGTCCACAGGAACATCCAGGAAATCATCAGGAACCCAATCAGCCACTCTGCCTGAAGAAACATACCACTTGGAACCCCTCCTCTGATCCACGCTCCACACCACCAGGAAAACCTGTAAGAGAAAGACATCATTATCATTCTACTCTCAATTCTGAATTGCTCAAATTGTCAAGAACCATACTCACCTCCTCGCTTCCCCTCTGTTCACAGCAAGACGTCCCAAAACTCCTCAGCACTGTAAATAAACTCGCTTACCTTTTCATCTTGTCTCCTGGTCTGGTCTCTCAGCTCCGCTGACCTGTTGAACAAAGTTAGCATCTTGTCACTATCAAACATCAGGTATTTTATGCACCTATATATATTTCCAGCTGCATACTACTGTGCATATATATATATATATATATATATACACACTAGAGGGGTGCAACAATACAGAAAATTCATGATTCTGTTCAGTTCGATACTTTAGTCTCACAGTTTGATATTTTTTCGATTAAAAAAAGAGGACTTTCCATGCCCCTTTTGACTTGTAATTTATTTAAATTAATTGTGAACATTTGTTTAACCTCGAAAGTACAGTTTTACATTAAATGTTGCTGAAACAGCAAGTTTCTCAGTGGACCTGCGCTCAAAAATGCAGCCCAGGTGGAGTAGTCGAACACAGATCCACTGATCCTTTAACACAGAGCATCTTCAGAAGACAAGTTGATAAAGTAAATTTTAAAAATCTGTATTGTTCGATACAAGTGTGTATTGAACCTAAAGCACTGTTCGACACGGTTCGATATGGGTACATTTATTGTTGCACCCCTAATATACTGTAGCCCACAATGAAAAATGAACCGTTTATATCAACATATGCTAAATAATAACAATAAGTGTGGGGTAGGCTACCTTTGTACAGTTCAAACCAAAAACAACATATTCACTAAGTCCAACAATGTCTAAATCACRCTTTAGGCCTACATACTGCTCACTCTTGATCACATGGCCACACAACAATAAGGCTATATATATATATATATATATATATACATACATACAGTATTTATGAGATGGCAATAAATGCTCTAGGTGTGTGTCGAGAAACAGTTTTTTTTACTGTGTTCCTGAACACAACATAACTCCAACTCCTTCTGCAGCATAGGCCTGTTGTGGGAGAGGAGCCTGTTTTGAGTGTTGAGCTTCAAAGAAAATAAAGCTTTTTGGACAAAAACAACTGCAAWAACTATCTTGTGGCCACTTTACTGTCCTGTGGCCACACATTACTATCCCAAGGTCCCTAGATAATTTTTTTTTAATCCAATGTCACCGAACGGGCTTCATAGCATAAAATACCTCAACAAACAAAAAAATTGCATTTAGTCTAAAAAATAATTTTAAAGAATTTAAGAACAAGCAGGGAAGTAAAGACAAGTGCAGCCTTCTTCTTGGGAAAAATTCCACAAAAACAATAAGAATACCTTTGAAAACAATGTGAAATCCCTCTGTGGGATAAAAATAAAAAAGGTTGATTAATTGTTATGTAATTGTCGTGGTCGCTATAGTACCATTTGCTGGACCACCTTTCTTCAAAGGCACTGACCCACAGTTTGSAGCCATGTGATTCTGTTAGGTAACAGGTTTACTGGACCTCCAGTATTCTCACGTTTATCAGGATTTATACAAGTGCCCTGGTTCTGACATTGTTACAAAAATATACATTTTGTATATATAGCTTAAATCATTTTCTGCATGGTTTTAGATTTATGAAATAGCAAAAACGAGAACAAAAAATAAAATAAAATCAATACTTTCAAAAATGCATTTAGCTCAAAGGTCACAAAGGTCTTTATTTCACAAAGTGGATTGTAGGTTTTAATACCCTGGAATAAAATTTAAGCTTAGACTTTGGTTTTCTTCTTCAGGCAGGTTTTTCTACGTAACGTTTCCTTTGAATTTTCTCGACTTTGCAAACCAGGTTTATTTGAATAAGTCATTTTGTTGAGGCATAACAATGAACGTTTAGTAGATTTCACATKAAGCATTCTTAAAAAAATGCATAACCCATGTTTTGACTCCTCATGGTGTTCACCTCCTTGATATTAGATACGTAATAAACAGATTGCTCATTGTTTAGCAAAACAAACTTTTCTTATGTTCAGCTGTTGTCTTGTTTAGCCAATCCTCAGACTTGGCTCAGTGCTGATGCTTTAAGTTGTTTTTACCAGGAGGATTCAGCTGATGGATTATAATAGAAAAGCCAAACAAACAAATCAAGCCAAGTAGGCACAGAGTTGCCAAATGTGCTATAAGCATGAATTAGATTTTAATCCTCCACCAAGCTCATAGATCTTTGTCCATAGAGGGATGAGAATTGTGTCTGTTTCTTCTTAATCGTCACTAAAAATCATTGTGATGTAATTGTGACAGTTTTGTTAGAATGTTGTCCGCTGATTACAGCTCAGCTTTTATACAATAGTCCCTCACATACAGCATGATTCACTGACCCCCTCACCCACTTGCTTTAGGATTTTAACTTCCTCAAAAACCACGAACTGGCAGTTAAACTTGGCTACTTCCTCTCCTCTGTTATCATGATCAGCACTGGTGCTCCACAAGGCTGAGTACTGAGTCCACCACTGTACTGGGGTGTCCGGATTCCAGTTTTTATTACTGAGTTAGATATTAAACATTACACAACTTAATTTACCCCCCCCCCTTTTTATTTAGAACAAAGAGCTCTCCATCCTTATAGGCAACTCCTTTTACTGTGTCAAATCAAACATACAGCATGATATGTACTGTTGAAACATTTTAAATTAAATCGAAAATAACAAAAAATACTTGTATAGATTTATTAAATATGGACCAGACAAACGTTTCACTTGAAATGTAAACTAAAGCACATTCAATGAAGCAGCAATACCAGTATCCCAATATTAATACTGGTGTTGGTATCGGTTTTGAGTGTCAGAGTGTTTTGTACAAGTAGGAGAACTTGTAAAATTGCTGATAACGGGCTCATTACCAATACTGGGACACCACTAATCAGTACCTCCAATTCAAGCGTCAACTTTCCTGATGACACCACTGTAGCAGGTCTCATATTAGCTGAGTCTTCCTACAGTGGTYAGATTTGCTGACTGACAAAGAAAGCCCTCAGGTGAGTCATTAAGAGCTCTGAAAAAAAAAGTCTTCTCTAGATGACACAAGTTTATGCTTTCGTCACATCACATCAGACACCATCAAGGAGTACACACGCTTTACACAATACACAGATCTGTGGATTTTAAAAAAAAGATGCACATTCATGTTTAGAAGCAGTTTTATCCCCATTTGCGCTTTAAATGTCCCCATATGCTAAACTGTCTCCTTACCTGAAGTCCCTGTCACATATTTTAGAACACTGAAGCTGTCTAGGTGGAATTGAAAAAAATAAAAATAAAACGCTGGGAGCCTCTTTTGGATGTGTACACACTGTAATGCTAACAATTAGATTGAATATATAATCTAAATGAGTATTTTAGTCTTACGAAATTTTTCACAAGTCGACATACTGTAAGTTGGTTAAAATGTGATAGTGTGACAGGGTTTTTATCATGACAGCCTTATAAAAATAATTTGATTTGTTGTAAGCTTTATGAAAAGAATTTTGGGTTGGTGAAAGCTACTTGATACTATTTAAAAGAATATGCAAAACCCAGAATAAATTACAATATTTTTTCCACTGGTGTTCTTTTCACCTTTCTTAAAAAGGAAAAAAAAATATTAATAAATAATTAAAACTATACAAGTTTTGCAAGATGGCTTTGGATTCTTTAATCTGCATGGTACACACATTTCTTTTTACTACCTTTTATGGCATTTGTGAAGTGGAGTGAGTCCAAGGTTGTTTATTACAAAGCTTGTTCAAGGCATGCAATGCAGTTTAAAGATCTTGAGAAAATTATATAACTGTGATTTAAACATGACCCAGCACAGCATGAAGAAAATTTCTGTCTTTACTATATAAGTTTATATTTTCCAGCGAAAGCCACTGCAACATGCCTGCTAGCTCATCAGCTTTGCTTGTGCATGCGTACCCAAAGGAAAAGATTTCTCAGAAAAACTTTCTTTGATCCTACATACAAGTCGTGAAACTCAAATTGTCATAAAAGTACTTCATCGCAGGCTTTGTGGGCTAATCCCACTTTACTGCAGGGAATGAGTTGACGAGAGGAGGGCGCGCAAGAACCAAAACAAACCCAAGAAGTTCTGAAATATGACAGGAGGAGTCAAATCAAATCAGTGAATGCAAAAAATGCGTTCCTTCACCAGCTTTATTGGGTGCYGCCGGGACTTTGGATGCGTGGAACTAATCCTTAAGATTTGGTTCGCCTTCCATTCTCCTTCCAGATGCTTTCCCCGTTCTGCATTCGCCTCGTTGCACCAGTTCTTTTTCCACTGTCTATTTTCATGTTTCCTCCCATGACTTTCCTCTGTTAATCTGTTCAGTGACTCCAGTTTGCTTCAACCAATTTTGCATTCATTTAGATTCTCCAGCAGTTTGATCTCTCACCCATTTTGATCTTTATTTTACTTGTCAGTCACTGCATTCCCTCCCACAACTTCTTCACCCATTATTTCCTTCCTCTGTCTTTCTCTCCTGTTTGTGCCTTCAGTTTTCCATCCCTGATCCTCTCTTTCATGGTGCTACAAACGTCCTCATACAGACAAGACTCTAAAGTTCTTCAGTATCTCTGCGTTGGTCTCTTGTAAACCATTTTGTGGTTCGTTAGTTTGAATTTGAGCTTTAATTTTCAAGTATTAAGCCACAAGTTTTCCAATGCTGTGTGTGGTGTAAAAGGCTTAATGGTTAAAGACATTCTGTTTCCTCACTACACGTTCAGTACTTTTAAAACCAAGAAAATCTCCATTTAATCCAAAATTATTTATCTTTCTGTCCTTCTACCTCTTCTTATCCTTCTCTGGTTGCTCCCGACAAGGACATGCGAGGGCATTTGGATCTTGTGGTCCACACGGGGGATTTTAACACGGCTCCCTTCCAAAGAATGAAAACAGCAGCAAAACAAGAACCTCCACAAGGACAAACAACACAACAGGCTGTGGAGGAGTTTTCACGCTGAATTTTCGCAGGGTGACAATCTCACACACGCTGCCTTCCATTACAGCGTGCCTGCGTGTGTACAAATATGTTGTACGAGACCCCCAGACTCGGCTTCATCACTAATGCAAGCCTGTCTGCAGCCTCCCCCTCCACTTCAGACACTTCCAACTAAAAAAAAAAAAAAAAC